GGAAATGGTCACACAACATTGGTGCTGAATACCATATAATCTGGAAATGGTCACACAACATTGGTGCTGAATACCATATAATCTGGAAATGGTCACACAACATTGGTGCTGAATACCATATAATCAGGAAATGGTCACACAACATTGGTGCTGAATACTATATAATCAGGAAATGGCCACACAACATTGGTGCTGAATACTATATAATCAGGAAATGGCCACACAACATTGGTGCTGAACATGGATACTTATATATATGTTTGAAATGGCCACACAGCAGTTGTGCTGAATCCTATATAATAGCTTGAAATGGTAACACAACATTGGTGCTGACCATGAATACTTATATATATGTTTGAAATGGCCACACAACAGTTGTGCTGAATCCTATATAATAGCTTGAAATGGCCACACAACATTGGTGCTGAATCCTATATGATAGCTGGAAATGGCCACACAACATTTGTGCTGATCATGAATACTTATATATATGTTTGAAATGGTCACAGAGCATTGGTGTTGAATACTATATAATAGCTGGAAATAGTCATAAAATATTGGTGCTGAATACTACAGACTAATCTAGAGGAGGCTTATGACTACACAGCATTTGTTTTGAATACTAACAACAATGTATATCTAGATATTGTCTTTACAATACTGGTGCTGAATACTGAAGACCTAGTATAGTATCTAGATGTGGTCTGCGTGAATGTTGTGTGTAGTATTAGCATTACTGAAATGTTATATAGGCAGTGTTGCTAAGTATGTGTATGTCTGCAGATAGATAACACGTTAGCATTAGGCTTACAATCTGGATGTCTTGATATTTGATACGTTGGTCTGTGTCAGACTCTTTAAGGAATCACCAATAACTGTTAATGCTAGATGAAAGGTTTGTTACAATCAATACTCATCCTGCCATTGATCAGGCCTACCAGATTGTTAGTCTGTGCTTGTTATGGTAGCAGGCTTTTCATGCTATGTTGTCCAGGCTTAGCGATGTTTTCTATCTGTACACATAAGGTGTCAAGGCTTTTCATGAAAAATAAATGTCAAAGCTTTGCAATGTGTTCAGGCAGTACAAGTTCTAAAATGTCAAGTCTGTCCATTGTGTCCATGCCTTATATATACAAGTTTGATGCCAAAAGTTGTGGTGTTAATATTTCTTGTGTGGTATCAACTTTTTACATGGTGTTATGACTTGCATGTTGTCAAGGTTTTGTAACATAACAAGGCTTGAGATGATGGTTTCCAGGCCTTGATATTGTATAAATGTTTGGTACATTGATATCAAGTCCTTGCATGGTGTTAAGTTTTGTACTTTGTTTTTAAGTCCTTGCATGGTGTTAGGTTTTGTACTTTGTTATCAAGTCCTTGCATGGTGTTAGGTTTTATACTTTGTTATCAAGTCCTTGCATGTAGTTAGGTTTTGTACTTTGTTATCAAGTCCTTGCATGGTGTTAGGTTTTGTACTTTATTATCAAGTCCTTGCATGGTGTTAGGTTTTGTACTTTGTTATCAAGTCCTTGCATGGTGTTGGGTTTTGTACTTTGTTGTCAAGTCCTTGCATGGTGTTAGGTTTTGTACTGTGATTTTAAGTCTTTGTATTATGACAAATGTTTTTGCATGGTGTAATGTCACAACTTTGTATGATGTCAAGATTTTTGCTTGGTGGCAAATCTAAGTTTGCATTGTGTGAATGAAATCTTTGCATGGCAGCAAAGCTTCACACAGTGATGTCAAGTTTTGAATAGTAATGTCAAGTACTTATTTGGCTTCAATATTGACAGGCCTCAACTTTAGGCCTCAATAAAGTTGTGTATCGGGTTCCTTGCCAAACATTGATGCTATATGGAAGGTACATAGGTACTATATAGGTATGTAAAGGAAGCCCATTTATTTCATGAACCATTACTGATATTGTTTGCATGGAACAGGGATGGAGACTTCAATGTGACCTTGAACAAGAATTGTCCCTATTTTGTATGCTTCATCATTTTTCACACAGAAATTTCTTTTACTTTAATTTATAGGTAATCTATAGACCAAAAGTACCTGCTGAAGTCATGATAAATGTTTCCTGTTATATATAGAAAAATGTCAGAATGGATTAATGTAATACGACAAGCTCTCTGTGATAGATTATAAAAACAAGGATTGACCTCAGAACTATTGATATTCTCAAATAGCTGTTATTAAAGGGATAAATTGCTTACTAATGAGGCGATACTCCTGTTCAGGTACACTAGTGGATATAATAAGACACTTCTGATCACATTGACAAATAATAGGTATACTAGCTGATTTTAACACAAAATGGGTTTCTAAATGACAGGACTTAGGATGTATTTTCTATTCCTAAAAAATAACTCTGATATTCACAGGTATAATTGAGGTGTGGTATACAGGTAGTAATACATCAGTATAAACTACCTGGCAAAGTATGAAGGAGAGGTATCGCATACTTTTGTGAACAGACAGATATAGAGAATTCCCACTCGATTTCTATGTGATATAAAATGAAATCATTGCTTTATATGTGCCTTTTATTATGAAATCAAAACCAGATAAACAAGTTTGGTTTGCTAATGTTTTATAAAAAGTATATAAATCTTCCTTCGGTTACAGGTGACATCGTTGGTGTATTTGCTAGACAAGGACTCAGGTGAATTGTATGCGGACAAAGAAAACACAAAGAAATTGCCGAAGAATGGAATTTGTTGGTTTGTGTACAAAATAGGAATATCTTACAAATTGAGAAAATGATTTCTTAGTATGGACAAGTACAAGTAATCAGTTTCAAGCACTACTTGTTTGTATTCAGTGTTTGGTTGAAGAAGGATATCTAATACCCATATAAAATGTTCAAGTACGGGCACGATCCAGACCTTATCTAACATGAATAATTTCATTAAAAAAGATGATATGCAGAGTTTTGCTGATGTATAGCATGCTTAACAGGTCCCCTGTTATCCTTTATAGAAACAAACGTATGTACCACTGATCAGAGATGTGGTGTTTGAGACAAGTGGGTAGGTCTTTGATAACTCAAAACTGATGTGTTTGTCATGCCCTCAGACAGCTTCATAATTAATGCTAATACTCGAAACATAAGTATATACTCTTCTTTGTGTATGTAGACTAGACGTTATAGCTTTAAATTGCTAATGAAACACGTCTGGGATCATGCCCAGACGTTTACCTTTGTAAACAGCCTCGGTGTTTACCTTTGTAAAACAGCTGTGACCTCAGAACCACTGACCCCCACAATACAGACTCATTTGTAGAATACTCCAAAGTTTTTCATTATATACAAGTTCAAGTGGAATAGATGGACTTGTCTAGTGTATTGATCAACTGCAAATATTGATTAACATGGTGGTTTCAGAATAAAAGGACTAGTTGTGTGTAGGTTTAAAATGAAGTCTTTACTACGGATATATAACTTATGTGTGTGGGAATATCCATGTTAACTTAACACTGAGGGGTTTAAATGACTTTCTTATTTGTATATTAATTCTAAATTTTCAGTGAATTTCATTTTTAGCTCACCCTTAACGGCTCAAAGGATTTTGACCAAATTTGGTCTGGAGCATCACTGGCCAAAGGGTTCTCAGTTTTGTATAAATGGAGGGTATGGTCCCCCTGGGGGCAGAGGGGTTGGGCCAAATAGGGGGAAAAAAGGTTAATCTTTAAAAATCTTCTTCTTCTCAACCAATTGAAGGATTTTGACCAAATTTGTTCTAGAGCATCTTTGGACAAAGGAGCCTCAGGTTTGTATAAACAGAGGGTGTGGCCTCTCTGGGGGCAGAGGTGCAGGGCCCAATAGCGGAAATAGAGGATTGTTTTCTCCTTCTATACAAGTGAAGGGATATAAACCAAATGCAGTCTGAAGCATGCTTATGGACAAAAGAATCAATTTTGTATAAATTGAGGTGTGTGGGCCCCCTTCTTTGTGGCAGATGGGTGGGGCCCATTAGGGAAAATAGAGGAAAATATTAAAGATCCTTCTTCTTCTGTACTGATGAAGGGATTTTAACCAAACTTGTTCTAGAGCATCTTTGGGCAAAGGGAATTTAATATCTACAAATAAAGGATGTGCACCCCCCACCCCACCCCTCTCCTCAGAGGCAGAGGAGCGGGGCCAAATAGGGGAAATAGAGAAAAATATTTTCCATTCTGTACAAATGAAGGGATTTAAACCAAATGCGGTCTCAATTTGTTTAATTTGTATAAAAAGGTGCATGTGAAGCCAAATAGGGGAAATAGAGGAAAATTGAAAATCTTTCTCCTTTTATTTTTTATTAATGAAGTGATTTTCATCAACCTTCTTCTAGAGCATTTTTGGGAATACACCTCACCCACACACCCCAACCCCAGGAGGTCCATACCAATCCCTGGGCTACCTCCTTGGGACATAACATGGAAACTCATTTTCTTGGTGTCTTACCCACCAAAACAGATTTACATGTAGTTCTTCTTGCAACTTTGTTTCTTGTACTCCTTTGATAAACCTGTATGTTACTCAGCTGGTTTTAAATTGAAAATAAAATACCAGATAAGCTATTAAGGCCCCTGGGCCTCTTGTACAAAATGGAATTGTGTTTCATGATAACCACATATTTTCATTATTGTCCTATTTGAAAAAGTTCTATTATTGTTGGAGATTGACAAGTCTTGATGTAAAATTAATAAATAGGAACATCAGCATTTGCTATTATTAATTATGAAGATGGTGCTTTCATAAAGCCTACAGTGATTCGACATTCAATGAAAACATTGATGTGATGTTATGATTAAAACTGGATATCAATAAAACATTGGTTGTGGATGATGAACAGTTTATTGATCTGTTTGTTGTTTAGTTTGTGCCAAAGATTCCTGTGACCAACAGTTGATAGCTTTGTCACCAGAACTTTAAGATAAGGATAGAAAACTTTAACAAAGGAATAGAATTTAATATTTGAATAATTCCAGTTCATTCTGCAATTTACAGTTTTTATGATTTAATGATTAAATGTATTTAATTTCATTGACAATATATTGGGTTGTTACAGATGTTATCAAATGAAAGTTTGAAGCCATGATTTTACTAAATGTAATCATTTTTGTTAAACTACACTGTGAGTGTTTGTTGCAAAGCTGAAATTTCAAAAATTAAATCTGACATACGTTTATGATACAACCTTGGGGGAAAACCTAAATTTATGTAATTACCTAAATAAATATTGGGGGAAACCTCTGACCTATGACCATGGTTGTAAGGTACCACCCCATTAGCTCATTTAACAGCCAAAGAGGACAAAGTATATCTACATTACACCTGTACCTGTGTTCATCTAAGCATACAACAGGCACTGGGCACAGTAATAAAACAAATTTGTAAGGCAAAAACAAAATCAGTGTTTCGCCTCCCCCTACACATATCCTTGTTTTAAGCGCCCCCATAACCTACACTATGTAAATGCTTGGCAGGTTTTTGTTGTGAACTGTAATTGGAAACCTAACAGTTAGTTTGCTTGGCCTGTTCAAGTCAGTCAAGTCTTTACCTATTGCTAGTTGTAATCAATTGCACATTAATTTGTTTATTTTATCTTACATAAATACAGTAGGATCAGATTAACTGGGGCTATGATAAATCAAACACCCCTCGGAACTCAACAGACATCCAATTTGGCTGGCATGTTTCTCCTTGTTGTGTTAAGTTGGACTTAACAATGTTTTTTAATAACAGTTACCCAGAATGTTGGATTAGGTTTTATGATTTTGTAAAAGTGATTTATGATCAGGAAATGGCATTATTAGTCGTGAAGTTATGAACTTAGACAGGAATGCGGTACCTTAGTTGTGACTATTTATTGTAGAAAAATAAACCAAGCTTCAAAAGCACAAAGCTATTAACAATACATGTATGCAAATATTTATTTTTCATTTTGTTGATAGAAAAATGTGAAAATTTGTCTGGAAAAAATTGTAGTAACTACATGTATCTGATGTAAGTTGGCATGAGTTATCTTTCTTGTTCTGTACAAATCATAGTTTAGTATGATCATATCTCATTTAAAGTTTTCCTTCCCTTAACAAACATTTTCTGATCTTAATATATATGTACATCATTACCAGGCTGAGGCATGACATACATTTTTGTTTAATTGTAGAAAATAAAGACATTTACTTAGTTATGTGATTTTCCTAGCAGATACATCTACAAATGATGTTTTTCTTTCCTTTTCTGTTTGAATTTTATAGTCACTGTTCCATTAAAAACAAGAACATATATTTCTCTGGGCATTTGACTGAAGTGCTTGAAACTGCTGAATCCTGTTGTCAGGTCCTTGAAACAAGAGACCTTGCATCAATTCTGTTATTCAATTTAACAATGACATTTTTTCAAAACTATAGAAATGTGTCTGTGAGACACGGATGCCCCACCTTACACCTCTCTGGACTAGCATATACACACACAGTGTAGTGGGTGCTACAAGCTATGCTGTGAATTGGCTTGGCCTATTTTTATCATGTCAAAATTCACATTTTAGTTAATTACAAGGGTACTAATTAACTTTGAGTACATTTTCAAGAAAATAGAACAACAATTGTAACAAACTTGCAATCGGGCTTCACAATATACTCCCACAAAGACATAGTTATATCTCTGATGTGATTACAAGCACAATTCAGACAGAATTTTAGATCCATGGCTATAGTCTCTGGGCTATAAATAGCCTGGAGAACTAAAATGAATTTCTTCAATGATTTTATTTGGTGTTCTAAGTTATGTTGTCTTCAGGTTTGCAGAAATGAAGCTTAAGGCTATAATACCTATTTTAAATGGCTTTTCACTTAAGATAACTGTTCAGTGTCTTTTCATAGATATTATGAAAATTAATTGTTTATTTCATTTCAGGGAGGCATGGTCGATGCGGAAGGCGAGGGCATGTCATAACCTTGACCCTGGTGACCCCTTGGTCTCTGAACTCTCAGCTCAACAAGACAACACAGGATGGAAACCTAAAAGTGGTATGTCCAGTGTTATACAGGCAATTCAATGTTAATTAGTAAAGGTCAGCAGCAGTACACTGTGGACTTTTTCCATTTCAGAGATACTTTGTAAGTCTGGACATTGTTACAGGTTATTGAAATCTAAAATAAGGTATGGCATTGGTCAGTGGCAAGTATGTCATATAATCACATACTGGAAAATGCTTGAAAATGAAATATGATACAGTCTTGACAAGTATCCTGAATTCTGTGTTCAAAATATGTTTTGTTGGCCATACTTCCATGTTTTGTCATGGGTGGTCTGACGGTGCAGTGGATGACACACTTGCCTTCACCAAGGTGGCCTCCCACATTCAGACCCCTGCACGCTTCCATTTGGTCCAACAAGAGCGCTTAATTGATATAACATGTTTCACGATTGTTGTGAAATACGTAAAGTTTAATTAAAAAAAAGACACAAGGTCAATGAAATATGACTGTAATATTGTTTGCCAATGATTTTGCATAGTCGTATATCCCTTGACAAAATGGTTAACTGGAGATTGTTTTGATATTGTTTATGATTTCCCTTCCCAATTAAAACTTTTCTGCACTCGAACGTAAAGTTTGGATTAATGAGTGCAATGTTTGCTGTAGGAATTCATTGTAGAGCATGAGTTTTCAATTTTAAATAGAGCCAAGATAAACAAGATTAGATTGTATTCTTGTTTGAATATCAAAAGGTGATTGATGGATTTTCTTATGTAAAATGGTTAACGTCTCGGCCACACAACAAGACCACACATGAAACAAAATGTATGTTGTGTTGTTCAAGTCAAACGAAGATGTTGATGGCATCAAGCCCAGGAAATATTTGATTGTTTTTACCATAATTTGAAGAAGCTTTATTGAAGAACAGTACACTGGCTTTGAAGTATAGGTCTGATTATGTAAGGAGACACATAGATATATACATTTGTCAGATTGGGTTCCTTAAAAAGGTTGTAATTTTGAAAATTAGTAATAATATAATTATATATATACAACATTTGATATAGCACCCCTAGCTAGAATAAGCCACTCTAAAGCACTTAACAGTACATAGATACACAATATATACAATCAATATAATATTCATATACTTTAATTAATACAATTTTGAGGAATCGCAGGAGCTGCCTTATCAGGCCCTAACTATGTCACCTGACTAATATCTCCCTATGTGTGTATGCCTGCGTGTAATGTGTTCTGTTCGTAGTGGGATCGTGCTTCCAAAGGCATAATTTATAGTGCAACCTCACTTGAATGCTACAGCACAGATACCGCAACATCCACCCCAGACCATTTTATACTCCACCTGGGTTGTTAGAGTTGTATGGACAGGAGAAAAACACTTACTCTGAATATTCCATGTGTACGACGACTTTGGGGATTGAACCCTGGCCGCCTGCGTGGAAGGCCAAATTGTGTTAACCACTTGACCAATCTGCCCATGTAGTTTATAATTAGCTCACCTGGCCCGAAGGGCCATGTGAGCTTATGCTGTACTGCGGCCTCCGGTGTCCTGTGTCCGTCCGTCAACTTTTTCTTTTAAACGACTTCTTCTGAAGAACTGGAGGACCTAGGGTTAAGATATTTGGCCAGTAGTTACCTGGGATGGAGTGCTATAAAATTTATAAAATTAAAATGACCTTGCCCTTCTTTAAAGGTCACAGGGCTCAAATATGTTAAAAACTTCAAACAACAATATCCTAAGAACTATCTGGACTAGAATTATGATACTTGGGTATGTTATGTAGAGCAGCAGTGCAAATCTTTTTCTTTATTACAGTAATGAGGTCAAAGGTCAACTTTAAGTGTTAGTCGAGGGTCAAATGTCAACATGGGTTAAACACTTTAAGAATCTTCTTCTTATGTTCCGTTAGGCCCATGGTCAGGATATTTGGCCAGTGGGTACATGGGATGGAGTGCTATAAAGATTCCTCATTAAAATAACCTTGACCTAGTTTCAAGGTCACAGGGCTCAAATATGTTAAAAACTTCAAACAACAATATCCTAAGAATCATTTAAACTAGAGTCATGATACTTGGGTATATTATGTAGACAAACAGTGCAAATCTTTTTCTTTATTACAGTAATGAGCACAAATGTCAACTTAAAGTGCAAGCCGGAGTCGAACGTCAACGTGGGTTAAAAGCTTTCAAAATTACAATTTCAAATTTCAAACAACAATATCTTGAGAAGCGTTTAAGAGATGTTAAAATGTCTTGTGTTCTAGTTACCAAATTTGATCTGAAGTTACCTATATGTCAGTTTCATGTAACAAAAGAACCAGGTGAGCGATTAAGGCCCTCTGGGCCTCTTGTTATATTTAACTGTACTGATGTTCTGATGTATATTATACATCAGAAGGTATAGTACTGTTCCCTATAGGAAACATATTATCAGTCAAATCAACAGAACATCATAACCATATCCTTGTCATCAAATAGTGACAGATTTTCTTGGCGATATTTTTCTATTTTTTCTACATTGTTTTATAATTTCTGGAGAATATTGCATGCTAATTTTAGATGATCAGATCCATCCTTTTATTTGCTTGTGATATTGGTCTGCGAGTATTTCCCACTAGACAACTAAGGCTGATAATAATTTTCTTGACCTTTAAGCAAACAAGATTGTGCTTATTTTGGTGTTAATGGAATCTCTTGGTGATGTTTTCTATTCAGCCCTGTTTGTAGACTTTTTTCCTTGGGATTTTACTGCTTGTGAATTATATCTCTCGTCAGAGTATTGCTTTGCCGACAAATTTGCATTAAATGCCAAGGCTGTGTGAGTTGGACACTACAACAGTTTATTCCGAAGTCATTCACTGAGGGGCTTAGAACACCTTTAATATATACATATTGTGTGTAATTTGTACATGAACTCTTGACTCTTCATTGAACAGTTCTGTATATTACATGTACCTGTTTTATTCCTGCCTTGTATGGTACAGTATACGTACCTGTAATTGAATTAGTGACCTATTCCAATCGTCTTTTGTCTGTCATCGTGCGTCCGTAAACAATTTACATTTTCGACTACTTCAAAAACCCCTGAACCAATTACAATGAAATTTTGCAGAAACCTTCCATAGCAAAGATGCACAAGTTTGTGAAATATATGATCCCCACGCGGGCCCCAGGGGCTCTGAGGGGCAGGGCCAAAAGTTGTCAAATTGGCTTAAATTTCAACTATCTTCTTCTACAGACTCAGTTATGTTTGAAAAAAATACTCTTCATACATGGAAGGGTCTTGAGGTGCTTTGTCAAAATTGGGAATTTCATTACCCCCCGGCTTCCCGTTCACCCTTGGGGAGGGGTTAAAGTTAACTATTCTCTATTTTGGAAAATGAATCTTTGGAATACTTTATTCACTTTCTATTGGAAATAATTTAGGCTTGATTGGAATTATAATCATGTGTTGAAAGTTTGATACTATGAATATTTTGACCCTGGCCTACCCCAAGGGGCTTGGGGGGTGGGGACAAAAGTCAAATTGGCTTAAATTTCAACCATCTTCTTCAGACCCAGATATGCTGGTAACAAAAACTCTTCATAGATAGAAAGGTCTTAAGGTGCTTTATTAAAATCTTGAATTTCATTACCCCGGGCCCAGTTTGCCCCTGGGGAAGGGGGTAAGGTTTTTAGGTTAAAGTTTATATTTGAAAATTATACTTTTTGGTATACATTTTCTATGGGAAAAAATTCAAACTTGATTATAGTTATAACCCTGAGATGACAGTTTGAGTCTGGCCCACCCCAAGGGGCTGAGGGGGGAGGCCCAGATGCATCTAATTGGCTCGAATTTCACCAATCTCCAACACATTCGAATACATTGGAAGCAAATACTTTTCATTATTGAAAAGTCTTCAGGTGCTTTTGTCAAAATTGTAAATTTCATTACCCCCAGGCTTTACATTTATAGATTATATATAGGAAAATGATACTTAATTGGAAGTAAACTTGATTGGAATTATAACCCTAAGATGAGAGTTTGTTACTATGAAACACAGGAGCTGAGGGGCAGGTACCAAAGTGGTCAGATTGGCTTACAACAATCTTCTTCAGACCCAGATATGCTGGAAACATACGGATGAGCTGAAACTTACTGTAGTTTCTGTTGGAAAATTATACATTGGGGTATTTCGGTTCATTTTCAGCTTGAAATTCAAAACAAGTTGGAATTACATTGTATATATGCATAAGAAGATGGTAGATGCTATGAAAAAAACCATTTGACCGTAACCAACCCCCAGGGGCTGAAGGGTGGGGCCCAGAATAACAGGCCTCTCAGTGACTTTTTGGTTGAACTAGCCATATGGCTAGTGACCTCTAAGTTTTGCAAAACATTGCATCGCTGTTAAACCGAAGCCACGAGAACTCGCTTAGCCATGCCGTGACAAAACGGCGCTTCAATTTCTGTGTTTTTGAAGATGCGTCTGGCTCTGTACTACAAGTAGTAGTAGAACTTGACGGTTCTTGTCCGCTTTCTTCTTCTTCTTCACTTTGCTTTCCTCTTTTAAAACCGAAAGCCGTCAGCGATGACTGAGCTGGCCTTTTGGCCGCCATTTTTGTTTTGTAATGAAACGAATTAATTATGGTAATAGGTACATTGTTCAGTAACTTTGCCTGTATGGTAATAGGTACATTGTTCAGTATATTTGCCTGTATAGTAATAGGTACACTGTTCAGTATCTTTGCTTGTATAGTAATGGGTACATTGTTCAGTATCTTTGCCTGTATGGTAATAGGTACATTGTTCAGTATATTTGCATGTATAGTAATAGGTACATTGTTCAGTATATTTGCCTGTATAGTAATAGGTACATTGTTCAGTATCTTTGCCTGTATAGTAATAGGTACATTGTTCAGTATATTTGCCTGTATAGTAATAGGTACATTGTTCAGTATCTTTGCCTGTATAGTAATAGGTACATTGTTCAGTATATTTGCCTGTATAGTAATAGGTACATTGTTCAGTATCTTTGCCTGTA